TAGATTAATAGCTTTAAATGACTCTCCCAAATGAAGCTTCTGGACCCTCTAGGCAAAGCCTATCAATAGGAGTCATCCCCCCCATATCACTTCATTTGAATCCATTGTAGAGAGTGTGTCAAACTAAAGAGAGTGGTTTGGCCTAGTGAGAGAGAGAGTTAGATAGAGAATGTGACATGCTATAGCCACACTTCATAGAAAGAAAGGGTGGCAAGCTATATTCAGACTTTATAGAGAGAGAAGGGTGACACATGATAGAGAGAAGACAAGCCAATTCTTTACACCATGGCCTAGAGCTTCAAGTTCCACTTCATCCTTTTGCTTCACCAACCTTCATGTGCTTCTTCTTCAAGCTTCTACACTCCATCTAAAGCGTCATATGTTGCTTAAAAGTGCATTTACAGCAGGGTATACTTACTCTCCAAGTGCCTCTTACTTTATCTTTTCGAGCCCTCACTATACCCTCGTGATCCCCTTTCATGAAGATGTGTATTGGAAACAAAGATCTCGAGTTATGTGGCTTAATGAAGGGGATTTAAACGCTCGATTCTTCCATATAACTGCTAATGCAAGGAAAAGAGTGAATAGTCTTAAAGGTCTAAAAATTGAAGGGGTTATAGATGATGACCCAATTGGTATGGAAAATGCTATTATCAAGCATTTTCAATATGCATGCACTGCTGGAGTGGTTCCACTGTTTAATATCTCCTATTAGGGTAGGGACGTGGGTCTGGAATTCGGCACCACGAACTCAGTTTTTTTTCCTATTTTACTACTATAAATTAGTCTCATATGTAATGTTATCTGATGCATTTGAAGCTTCTTTATGCTTCCTATTACTATGAGGTGATAGAACTTAGTTCATAGTGCTATTGGTTTGGAATTCTGGTGTGAGGTATGATAAGTCCCGGAAGGTAATTCTTAGCATCTTGCATGATGGTATGGCTTCCTATAACTTCTGTCTCCTAAGCACAAATTTGTTAAAGTATATGTAAAATGAGATTGCAATTTTGATTTGTAAAAGTTCATGCAAGTATTTGATGTAATTCTATGAGAATTGTATAAGGAATTTGTCTAAGGGTTGTATTGTCCAAGTTTATATGCAATCTCATTTTGTCAAAGTGAAAGGAACTGATTTTGTCAATGTTAAGGAGGTGTTAATGATCTTCTTATCTTGCTGTAATTTCTTTAAAAGAGAGTTGTATGAGTGAGAGGTGAATGTATTTTTATGAAATTATCTATGGAAATTGTAGTGTATACTTGTCCCATGTAAATTTTTTGAAGTGTTGTACCTAAGCGACTGGTAACTACATCTATCAAGCATAACAGGAGAGTTTTTGAAGGACAGGACAATTGATGCATTCAAAGAGAATATCAAAACGGTGGTGATTGAATGGGTGAGACAGCAGAAAGAGTTCCACAGCTATGCTACAACTCGCTTCCTACTATGGACTGGTACCTCAAGATCATCTGAAATACTTGTGGCTAGATCTTCTCACTGGTCGCTAGCGGAATTGGACTGTATCAAGTCGAACATCGATGGGTGCTCCTGAGGGGATTTTAGGTCACACAAGGTGCCACCTTTTTGTCTTTTGTCCCCAGGTCCAGTAGAGACCGAGACGTCGACCAAGGCCGAGGTGCTAGCTTTATTGCAAGCTCTCAAACTGTTCAATCACCAACCAGGCACCAGGTTTGTGGTTGAAGGAGACCTTGTCAACTCCATAATTTGGACGAATCGAACATCCACCTGCCCCTGGCGTCTTGGACAAAACATATGTTCGACCAAAATTTTCAACTCTGGGGAATCATCCAACCCTCTGTGCAAAGCCTTCCACGTGCTGGACAGCCTCACCAAACAGGAGGCTCCCAAGCCCGCATCAGTCATTGACTGCCCTTAGGGGTGGTTTACTTATTTTAGTGCATATTAGATAGGGGGATATTTTTCCCAAATTTTGTTCATGCCCCACAATTGTTTACAAATCAGGCCCCCAGGGTTGAGTCTACTTAACTATAAATAGGTAAGCATATATATATGGAAAAAGTTTATATAGAGCCGAGGCTCTAAACAATCAAATTTGAGCCTAGCTCAAAAAATTCACTAGAAGAGATTGTTTTGATGCCCAAATATCATCAAATTGATCATCTCGGCATCAAGATGCATAGACATAAGAAAAAAATGGATTTCAAGTTTTGGAAATAGTGTATTTTGTAACGTATTTTGGACCGTCAATATTCAATATTTTTAAGTTTTCATGGATCTATCGATCTACACTATTTTTTAAGCGTTAAACTTTATAAATAAAAATTAAAATATATTTTAAGAAGCCTATCACAAAGATTTCCAGTATTGAAACCTCATTTCTTGACACTATTTGAAGGTAGGCTAGGCTCTATACTAACCGCACCCTATATATATATATATATCGCGTGCAGATTTGCAATCGGTTCTAATTAAAAAAGGAGTATTAAGAATATCACTTTGGAATTTAGTGAAACAATGAACAATAGCTAGGATTTCCTTTTTTACAGTAGAATAGTTCTGTTGAGTACTATTCCATGCTTTAGAAGTAAACCGAACTAATTGTTCATTCTCGTTGACTTTTTGTTTTAATATGCCACCTAGTCCGAGCTCAGAAGCATCACGTTCAATGATCTTAACAGCATTTGGATCACAAAGAACTAAGCAAGGGAGTTCTTTTGCTTTGCTCTTAAGTATTTTAATAGCATTTGTATGCTGATCAGTCCATTTAGGAGGATTCTTTTTAAGTCTCTCATATAAAGGTTTAACGATAAGAGCTAGATCTTTTATAAAATCGGCGATGTAATTTAAACATCCTAAAAATCTTTGTAATTCTGTTTTATTAAGAATTACATCAGGAAATTTAGTTGAAAATTCAATTGCTCTATATATTGGGACAATGGTTCCTTGAAATATATTGTGACCTAAAAATTATTAAATGACGAACACAATGGGAACACAACGGTAGTAGGAACTATTGCCATGAATGAGAGCGGAGGTGATAGATACATTCGTAGGATTAGGATATCGGAAGTGAAAGAAGCTTTGCAGAGGATGTAGATAGGAAACACTTTCGGACCAGATGGTATCCTGATAGAGGTTTGAAAGTGTATGGGGGAGATTGACATTGACTGGCTGATCAAGCTGTTCAACAAGGTGTCGAGAACAAAGAAAATGCCAAGCGAATGGAGAAAAAGTACTATGGAGGAAAAGTATTGTGCGAACTATCTATGAGCCATAATATGAAGCTGTGGAAGAGAGTGGTTGAGCAGCGACTAAGGCATGAAACGAGTGTATCATAAAAGCAATTAGGTCTTATACTAGGGAGGTCAACAATTGAGGCTATTTTCCTTCCTAGGTAACTGATTGAGAAGTTTAGGGTGAATGAAAAAGACCTCCACATGGTCTTTATTGATCTAGAGAAAACTTATGATAAAGTACCTCGAGATTTAATTTAGTGAGTGTTGGAAAAGAATGGAGTCTATATCGACTTGGTGAGAGATATGTATGAGGGAGTGCTAACTAGTATGCAAACGACTAGTAGAGAGACGAGTGAGTTTTCAGACAATAGGTTTACATTAGGGATCAATATTGAGCTCATACCTCTTTGTCTTAATTATGGACGACTTAACTTGGTACTTACAAGATGAGGTACCGTGGTGTATATTGTTCGCGGACGACATAGTTTTGATTGATGAGACCCGAAGCGGCATCAACACAAATTTAGAACTTTGGAGGGATGCTTTAGAATCTAAATGTTTTAAAATTAGGCAAACTAAGACAAATTATATAGAATGCAATTTTGGTAACGATAGGATTAGAGAAGAGGAAACCGTTAAGATTATCGATCAAGAAATATCAAAGAAAGCGCACTTTCAATATCTTGGGTCGATAATCGAGGGAAATGAAGAGGTTGAGGAAGATGTCACACTTAGAATTTGAGCTGGGTGGGCGAAGTGGAGATGTTGAGTTTAATATGATCGTTGTATACCAGTGAAGCTGAAGAGGAAGTTCTTTAGGACAACTGTGACACCAACTTTGCTTCATGGGACTGAATGTTGGGCGGTCGAGAAACAACATGCTCATAGGATGAGTGTAGCTGAAATAAGGTTGTTGAGATGGATAAGTGGCAAGACAAGAAGGGATAGAATTCGAAATGAATATATTCGGGAGAACTTAGGTGTGGCTCCAATAGGTGATAAGATGAAGAAAAATAGACTTAAGTGGGCTGGCCATGTGCAGCATAGATCCAATACAACACATATTAGGAGGTGCGAATTGGTTCAAGTGGAAGGCTAAAAAAGCGCAAGGGGTAAGCCCAAAAGGATATAGTTGGAAGTAGTGAGAAATACATGGTTCTTATAGTTTCACTAAGGGTATGGCCTTGATAGAACAAAATGACAGACCATGATTCGTGTAGCCGATCCCAAATAGTTGAGAAAAGGCTCTAATGATGATGACGACGACGTTGGATTGTTTCTTATTAATATTTAGAATTACAGATATTAATATAGGAAAAGAACTATGCTTCTCGCAAAATTTGTTTCACTGCAAGTAATTGAGAGCATTTGAAGTAACTAATAGGTGTGCCAGTGTTTTGATATTGTTTAACACATCATGTTTATAGACTTGATTGATGTTGTGCATAAACTAATCAATGGGGGTCCTTGACGTTTTCATGTATCATCGAATGACTGACTGATATCCGTATAGACTGTTTAACATTGCCTAGAATTGATCACCCTTTAATCTGTTGAACCATTGGATATTTGCTTCCAAGATTTTAAAAGGCTGTTGGTTCCATTTAAGAGCCAGTGCTTCAAAACAGTTTGCAACTACTCATTGACCACTTCTCTTTCTGTGGAATTCTTTTGTTACTCATCTTTGGATGTATAAAAGGTGGAGCACAAAGAAAAAACCGACCTCTTCGTAATCATCCTCTTTTGCGTTGTCATCTGATGGTCTTTTCATAATGTGCTAGGCTCGTCCAGTTCCATTTGTTTTGGTCGAAAACAGTGGAAGATGCAACACGAATGACATTGGTGAAAAGGTACATTAAATTTGCTATAACTATGTATTCGACATTCCTTCTAGAATCCTTTGAAATTGTAGTATGCAAAAGTTTGAAGATTCGATTGAATAACTGATGTTGTTAATGGACAGATCCTTCCAAATGGTACTGCATGGCTTCCTGAACTTGTTAAAACCATTACTGAGGTGGTCTTAAATGGCAGCAAACCTATTTTGGTTGACCAGAAATTAATTGAAGGACCCGATCCAAATAGTAAGGGCAGGTTCCTCATACCCTTCATTCTTGCCTTCCAGGTAAGATATCTTGTGTTCATCTCTGTATGCTGCTAATATTGCAGCCACATTCTGTAGTTTATATTTTTGGTACCGTATAGATGTTAATTTTTTAATTGGGAAGTACATAATGTTCTAATATATGTTACACTACTGCCATTTACCACCCATTCTGGTGCCGTACGGTGGAGATTTAACTATAGTTTTCCTCTGGTGGAGTTATCTCCACTGCCCAACATCAGGAATAGGTAGTAGCATATGCTCCCATGGTGTATCATATACATATGTCAAAGTTATGGTATTTTTTATTTCATGGATAACATGTTCATCTTTACAGTATTTCCTTGTGGTGAAGCCGATTAAGGGTGCCATCAAGGGTGACATTGCTCGGGAGAGTAAACCGCTTTGGGAGCTCCGAGATTTGGGTTTGGCAAAGCGGCAGTTTTGATAATTTAGCAGTCTCTGTTTATGGAGACTCTCTCTCTCTCTCTCTCTCTCTCTCTCTCTCTCTCTTGTGTTGTCACTTGCTTACGCATTTCCGGCCACTAGAATTTTTGGGATAGAGTGTAGTCGTGCATGTGTGATAGGTGAACTTTTGATTATGTTTCCCTGCACTTTGTTGCGAAGTTTTCAATGCATTTATCTCAAAGAGGGGTCCTGCCATCTCCATATTTATTATTTTTTTATTTTTTATTTTTATTTTTTATTTTTTATTTTTCCAAGTGTCTTCATGGTTTTCTTATATTATGTATTTTGTGCTTATGAAATGCTTTGGATTTTGCTGCTGAAATTTCTGCTAGAATGTTTTGCATGACTTCCATGTACCGGCCAGATGTAATGTGGGCACTGTCTTCATTTTGGAGAAAAATTTAAGGGTCTGTTTGCTTCCTTGAAGAAAAATCTCCTGAAATTCTAAAGAGAGGGATGATTGATGGTTCGCAGGAGAGAAGCTATAGTGCTTGTAGGGGGAGGAGAGTTGGGGGTGAAGGAAATTGACATTTAGAGAATAAATTTCCACCTATTTATTTAGGTGGAAGAACTTTTTACCAGAAATGAGGTGAAAATCAAGAGGACCGGAAGATTTCTCCCCCCTATGTGAGCTCAAATCCATCGCATCATTTGAGATTGCCTCATCTAGAAGAATATCCTAGAAATTGATTTTCAAGGATCCAAACAGGTGTTGAGAGAAAAGTGAAGTTCGATGGCACATTCTTTACAAATGTAGGGAAACACGAAATAATACGAGGGGAAATATATCACAATGCCACAAGAAATGAGAAATTTAATATTTTATCTCTATCTCTTTATTAATTTTAAAAAAGACCTTGAAAACTTGCCTGGTTTCCGGTTGAAATTGTTGTAAATGGGCATAATGTGGAATAGTACATCTCCCATGGGATGTCAGCATTAAAAAAACAAAGAAAGAAAAAAAAAAGTTCGTGGGTATTTTGATATCCCACACTCATATGTGTAGGACTCTTAATGATCATCATTAAATTTGATGTAGATTTTTAGGAAAGTTAAGTCTCGCATTTATATGATAATTTTTTTAAAACTATGTGTTAAATTTAATGGTGATTTTTTAAGGTTTTACATACATAGGTATGGGAGGGTTTCATATGATCATTATTATTTTGATATTTTTATAATGATATATAATCCTTGGATTATAGATCTAATCTAAATCTTGCGTTATGTATTTAATTTTAGGATCTTATTGTTTCTTAGGGTTTTTTCTTTCTTTGAGCTTGGTCTTGAGGTTAAAGAGGTCATATCCCATAATTTTGGGGTCTTAAAAGTGCTGCTAGATTGGATTTTACTTGAAGCAGTGAATGGGGAAAACATTGGAGCCTAGAAATCTTTTGAGCATGGTTATAGGATACCATATGATCTATCTTTGTCCACTCAATTGGTTTTGTAGCAGAGAGTTTGGTTTTTCACTTATAGGTATTAGTGTGGAGTTAAGTTACTTGCGAACCGTGGGAAATTTAAATAGAGTAATGATCTTATGAGACTTTTCTACATCCATACGTGTAGGATCTTAAAAGATCATCATTAAATTTAGTACAAATTTCTAAAAAAGTTATCATATAGGTGCCAGACTTGATTTTTTTAGAGATCTGCGTTAAATTTAATAGTGATCTTTTGAGGTCTTACATACGTTGGTGTGGCAGAGTTTCATAATATCATTATTTTTATAAAGTATATGTTGTTTCAATATTAAATTTTTTTATGATGGCAGCTTAAAAATTTATTTTCATCTCTAATAATAAATATATGTTGCGCTTCGACTTGATCGGTATCTCCAATAAAATTTAAATTTTAAAAATAATATAAATCGAACAGATCTATGAACAATTGAAAATATTACAAATTGACGGTCTAGATGATACATTGCAAGTTATATTTTAATTTTATTTATTTCCTTGCATCGGATTAAGCTCTAATTTTAAGATTCCATACTTCTCACCATTTCATATTTGTAAATTCCAAACTAAGTCCTTTTAAAATAAGTAGATTGACCAAACTACCCTTAATTTTTTTAAATCTGTTAGAGCATTTTGATTATTTTTATTTTAATTAATTACATTTTTAATATTTTAATAAGTAATTCATAAATGAGAAGTATGGATATCTAAATTTTGAACTAAATTAAATAATATAAAAAGGATAATAAATTAAAATACTACAATTGCTATAAAGAGGTGTAAAATATAAAATATATGTATCTATGCTTTAATTTGAAAAATAAAAAAGGTTTTCTTTGTTAATTTCCCTTTCAATTAAGATGACTATCGCATCAGACAATCTAAATAACTTGTAAATGAAAGTTTTTTATTTTAAAATATTATTTTAAAAATCTGTGTTAAATTTAATGGTGATTTTTTAAAATTTTATAAACATAAATGTGAGAGAATCTAATAGAGTCATTATTTTTTTTTATAATATTGGAAGTGGGGCCGTGATTTTTAATAAGGCGGTGGACTAGTGAAAGAACAATTGGCCGAATTAACCCAAAGTTCAAAATATTACCGTTGTTTCAACAGACATCCTCAGGCGCGGGAATCGAGAAGTTCTATCAAATCCAATTTAATAAGCCCGCTAAATTCCACGCGAAACCCAATGCCCCTGTCCGTACTTTCTCTCTCTTCGAAACGGGTGGTCTAGAGAGCGAAATACTCTGATTTTAAAAACACAGAAGCAAGCACAAAAAAATTGTAAAAAAAGTAAGAGAGAGAGACAAAAGGTTGTTCCTGATGGTTTCATCTGGCAAGGCGCTTGGGCCTTTGAATTCTAGATAGAGAAACCTCTCCACGGTGAGAAACTACAGTGGATACTGCATGCCAGTCACTGATGATAAAGTTAGAGTGAGAGAGAAAGTTCTGTAATGATGGAGGAGTTGTAGAGTGAGAAAGCTTGGCTAGCGGAGAGAATTGACTGTTTAGAGAGAGTGAGAGAGAGAGAAGGATTGAGGAGTACTTAGTTCGCGATCTTTTGCTGAGGCCTTCTTCATTGTCGATGGGATTCGTCTCTGCAATTTCTCTTCTTGTGCTCGCTTTCTTTGCAGGTCAGTGAAATATCACATTTCGAAGTAGTGTTGGACTCTTGATTTTTTGTACAGTGAAATGCTATGTTTAGTCTTTAACTTTTAAATTCTTTGCTTATTTGCAATAACTGTGGAAGAAGCCACAAATCCTTTCTAGACTGTTTCTTTTGGAGTTTGAACTACTGTAATGTGTTTTGGTGCAGTATTTTTCATGAGGTAAATGCTTGTTCTTTGACCTTTTGAAACATTTGCACATTTCTCGCTTCTTTTTGCTCAGTGGATTTTGGTAAGATTTCAAGTTTAGGGATTCCTGGTTGAATGAATAAAATGCTCGATATTCTTAGTGGATTGCTGTTTTTCTTTTCAGTTATTTTTGTACATTAATGGAGACAATTTTGTACTGTAATACAGGAATCATGTGCTTCCCAGTTGCGATATTAAGATACTTGGCTGTGTTCTTTTGAAGAACTGTATTTTATTTGTCCTCTTTTACTGTCCTTTTTTTACATTTAATGGCGATATTGCTAGATTCAAGTTGTAGATAAACATGAAATCATTGATGTATTAGTCTAAAACGTTGCAAGTATTTTTGGTCGAGTCTTTAATTTTAAAAGAAAATATAACGAGATATTATTATGTACTAGTTATCGTTTTCTTGATGGTTCATTTAATGCCAACTACTTCTGGGCTTATCACCACGAGAATTCATTGTTCCATTAGTTCAACAATTGTAACTTGTAACTAATTCTACAATTAAGAATTCACTAATGTGGAATCCATTATCCACAACATAGACCAATAAACCAGCTGGAGAGAGAGAGAGAGAGAGAGAGAGAGAGAGAACCAACTTACAAATGGAACGGAGAGAGATTTGGCTGGTCTCTGCACATGTGAAATTAAAAATCTCTGACAATTTGGAAGCTGAGGCGCTATCTAAGACAGCATCGCTCTTAATGCTGCTAGGGAGAAAACCGATTATTATTTAGTGGAATGCCATGCAAATTTGGATAAGCCCAAAAATTGCAAGTTGGCTTCTTTCTCTAGATCTTTTCTTTTCAATACGCTTGAAAATATGTCTGATACGTGTTGATTTCTTTGCCCCTTCTACGGTTAAGTCCCCAAATTTGGAGCCCTTCCTTATCTTTTGTTCTCCTTCAATAGAGGTGTCATTTGCCTGCTTCTTTACTTCTCAATTAATAAGCCAATAATTTTGGCATATTATCCATCCTTTAAAGATGCCCTGCTGTATTTTTTTATCCTCCTCCTTCCATATCTTGTTGAAACCTATGCTTTCAATATTATTGCATTCATAGTCAGGACGGAGGAGCATGGAAGGGCTGTATGATATGCCATTGTTGGAATATGTCGGATGATCCATTCTAAGGATAAACAGATGTTAGTGAAGGAAAGGATGAGAGGAAGATGCATTATATAATGCCCTGGCACAGATAAAGATGAAAACTATTGGAGATGAATTATGTGGAAATATCTCCTTATTTGAGCCCGCAATTCAATCTCCTTTTTGGAAACTAGGAACAATATTGTGGAGAATTGCTTGAATGGAGACGATACTAATACCATCGTAGGAGAATGATGAGAAAGGATGGGAGATTAATAGCATTTTTGTCATGTTATTTGTGTATGGAGGAGGCCACTGTGTGAAGGAAACATGGGACCAAATTAAATGGTGTTTTATGAGTTTCCTGAATTTTTCTTTGTATAGAATGAGCACATGGATTGGGTGGCAGCAGCAGAGAAATCGGTTGCTAGGCTGAGTGAAAGCCACATAGTTGCCCCTTCACTTGGGACCATTGAACTTTTTTGCAATCTGGTTTCTTCAGGAGTATTGGGGTGTTCAGGGATAAAAACGATAGTGTTGTAGATGTCTTCTTTAGTCCCTCGACTTATGACTGACAGGATTCAAAATTGTTCAAGATTTCTTTCTCCTCATCTCTTCTTGCTGAAGGTGGCTCAATGAATATAATATGTTGGGCCCCCTATCCATTGCTCTTGGCAGATGTTAAGGAGGAAATAAATTCGCATGCTGATTCTAATTGTTGCATGTTCGTGTGCTCTTCAGTGATGGCCTTGCAAAGAACAGAGAGGGAATGGGCTTCAGCTTCCTGCATGTGTACACGGTTACCCCTTTTCTCTATCCCTTTTCCTCTCTCTCTATACTCATCTCTCTTTATGAAATAGCAGTGGAGCCGCTCTCACTTCTCGCTCTCCTCCGAGCATATGTTTGTCTCTAATTCGCTCCCTCCATACCCATATGGTGTGCACTAATCCTTTAGGAGCATCTGATTTTGAACTCTTTCCCTCATCCAAATTGTAGTTTTTCTTTTCACTTTTAGTAATATCAAACTAAAGAACCCATTTAGTAACCCATGCAACCTCTATAATTTCCAAAAACATAAGCAGCAGTTATTCATTACCATTAACCAATTTATAGAGAGAAATAGTTCTTTTGTGCATCACGGGGATTCTCCAGGCTAGTAAAGGCTTCAATTTTGATACTTTTCTTCTTTCTGTCATAGTCCTTACCCTAGCCATGGACATGGCTGTGTCAAATTAATTGAGGTCTGCCATTCTTGATAGTGCTTGCTACATTCTCATGAATTTCATGTAATTTCCACAAAACCAGGGTGTTTTGATTCAGAGGGTTTTCCCTTTGTTATCAATAGACACCCAAAACCCAAACTTTAATAGTGAGAAAGTGCATAGATGAAAGGGATTGTATACAAAGAGACCGTTTACCTTTTTTACTAGGAGGTCACAATTATTCTTACTCATTAGATGTCAAATTGGATGGCTTGGGTTGTGTCACAAAGTCTGAGAAATGTTTTTTTAGAACTGTGATTCTATTCAATGACACTCTTACAACCACCTGGACACTTCAAAAATGATAGTTGTATTGTTTGGAAATGCTTAAATAAACATTAGACTCCAAATGATTAAACCAGAGAACAACACACTCGGGGCCAAATTCACTCGTGCATTCCATATCATAGAAACACAGGTTTTTATATTATATACTGGGGACTGAACAATTCCATTGGTTTAATCCTCTGTTACAATTTATATCAGCCTAAAATAGGCCAAATATCCTTGATTTGGGCCTTGAAACCTATACATACAATTCTAAGAAATAAAATATACAGACACACTTGTTTCTCTCTCAAATACGTTTCACGCACTGCGTATATAGTCACTTTCTATCTCTCACGCTAAACACAGTGATTCAATCCAATGGAATTCAACCCAACAGAATCGAACTCGACAAAATCGCACCCTTCTCTAATCAAGAGATGGGTTTATATAGACTTGTTAACTGATAATCACACAATCTTCAACTGATAAAAACATGGAATCATATCCTTCAATTTGCATCTTTATCTTCATGCTGACAATCATCTTGATCTTTATCTTCACGCTGATCTACATCTTCATAATCATGAAGTGATAAGCACAAAATTGCAATCTTCGCATATCCTTTGATCATGCGTCTTTATCTTTACAATCCAATCTTCAAAGTGGTAATCATATATTTCAAATCTACATACAGGCGTCCTTTATGATAATCACATACTTCAATAAATATTCACCTTCATTTTGAATTCGCAGATTCCAAATTCAGCAGGAACATTGCATGAGCAAAATTAGGGATTTTGTTATCTTTTTGTCACCCGTCAGTTACACTTCTGAAACGCTGCTCTAATATGTCTTCATAATTCTTCAATCTCTTTCTGATGACAAATCCTTTAAACATGAAATTTGGAGAGATAACATAATGGTCCAAGTCTCGATTCAAATCGATCATAAATGAGAGAGATATCATCCATCAAAGTTACCTTGTTTGTGCTGGAAATGTGATAGGGCATCGAGTCAAGATTCCAGCGGTCCTGGTCCCATGAGAAAATTCTTCATATCCAGAGAGAAATCTCAATTTTATGTGACCAGGGTTATCCTGGTTGTTTTAGACGGCACGTAAAGCTTTTAGGGCTTTAACTGCCAGGGAATCCGGATGATGGGTTAATCCACTTCTGAAGGATATGAAACTTCAAGGGGAGGGATATCATGCCTTGAATATGATTCCTTGAAAGTGTCGGCTCAATCCAAAACACAAAGTTTTGGGGCATCGGTCAAGGCATATCTTAATTGACGGTGGATACGAACACTGGGTTAAGCCAACTCCGAATTATTTCCCAATTTGTATTATACTTGGACTTAGAATTAGAAGCATACAAGCCTTCATGATATATGTATCCTTAAGGATACACCTGATCATGATATCATATTGTGAGGTTTTCTTATACCCGGTCTGTCAAGTACCATATCCTTAACTAACGATGGATTAATAGAGACATATTGTATCTCATCAAAACTCCTCCAATTATCATTTGGAGAAGCATATATGGGCCATGAGAGTATATGTATCTCAGAGTTTTGTCTCAAATTGAAACGTCTTCATGATCATTTATCAGTGATCGTAAGTCCCGATGCATATGTGTAACTGACAATGGATTAAGAAAATATATATCATATCGCATTAGATTCCTCCACATATCACATGGAGAGGCATATCGGGGCCTTAGGAGTATGTATGTGTATCCCAGAACTTGTCTCACATTGAGATGGTTTTCATATCTTTTATCATTAATAGTTAGTCATTAGTATCATATATTTATCGGTCGTAAGTCAAAACATATAGGGGCTGACTGACGAGTCAACACCCTGAAGGCATATTGGGGCTTTCGTATGATGAATCCTGGTCATATCATATCTTTCATATCATATCATATCATCTTATATCATATCAGGGGGCATATCTTAGCAGGTATTATAAAGAACCTTGCTGATATCTTATACACCGTCTGTCAAGACAGTTATCCAGCGTTCATCAAAGACTTCACTCTATAATGACATCTTCAACCTATCGAGCGTTCATAAGAACGTACTTTAGTCTCATATGGCTACTAGAAGCACATTCAACAACTCAAGCATATCTCCAAGGTCTTAAG